GGAATCCAGGTTTACATATGTGTACTAGGAAACTATTTTTTTTTTTTTTTTTGGTACTGGGATCGAACTCGGGTCCTTGCGCCTGTGAGGCAGGCAGCAGAACCACTGAGCTAAATCTCAGGCCCACTAGGAAACTATTTTAAGTGCATTTAATTAATTCAATTTTCCTCCTCTGACAGAAAAAATGCAAACCTGTATAATACAGATCGAGGCAATTACCGTACATAATGTTTACTAAGTATCATTTTGAAGTGACTCATTAAAAATTTTAAGTCCTAAAGTAATGCATTCATATTAAAATATGAAAAAGTGGGAACGTAATTCTCAGAAGATAGTGCTCTCCTTTTTGAACAAAAATTTATAATACTGTATGAAAATCAGTTTTGAGAAAATAATTTGGAACAAATACCTATTACAATGTAGGTACAGTCAACAAAATGGGAGTCTCGTCTGATGATGAGAACTTACAATAATGAGCTTTTAATTCATTTTCATTCCTAAACTTACAGATAAAAGCTTTAGCCTAATTGTTATCAAGACAAGAAACATAGGTCTCCTCCATTCGCAAAATACAAGTTCTTAGCCACCGCCACCACAAAAACAAAACAAAACCAAAAAAAAAGCCAAAATTATAACCAAAATTCCATTCGGAGTTCCCAATGACCTTCGTCGATCAGGAACTTAATCTCTGTTCTGAGGATTTGCTGCCTAAACAGGTAGTTTAAGGAGGACTGCCTGGGCCTGGTAAAAACAGGCTCCGTCTGGGACAGGCTGGAACTCTAGAAACAACCAGGCTCGGCCCCAGAGGTATCCCAAGACTATTAACCTAGTCCCTGAAGGGGTCGCAACCCGGGAGGCTAGGGCGCGTCCCAATCCTAGAGAAAGTATACTTTCTTCCCATCGCCCCGCACTATTCTGCCCACCTCTTCACGATCCTTCCCCCAGCTCCAAAGGCTGTGCTTCTTCAAAGACCTGGCTGAGGCCTTGAAGGAAGGAAATCTAGCGGTCCCCGGGCCTGAAGAGGACCGAGGGGGGCTACGGGGAGAAATCAGCATGCCCCAGGAAAGGTGGAGAAACCGCAAGGGTTGCCTCACCTGGTCAGGTGCCAGGACCGAAACAACCCTGGGGACCCTACAACGCACCGAGAGGAGGCAGGGTAGGCGCGGAGGTCAGGGCCGTCCAGGCCACAGCCAGTCTGGAGCGCCAAGTCAGAGCCAAGTTGGCGTCTCCTGCTGGGTCGAGGCTTGAGCTGCGGCGGAAGACTCGGAGGACAGAAGGTGAAGGAATCTCGCACCAAGCAGACGTTGAGAGCGGCACAGGCAGGAGGAAGCCGCAGCGGCCACAGAATGACAGGAGCGCCAGTCACGTGAGCCGAGGCACGTGAGCACCGCGGCAGGCGGAAAGCGGAAGCCGGGAGGGCCCAAAACAGGCGAACGAGGGGCGTGGCTCTGAGGAGGACCCTGTTAAGTGCTGGGCGCTGGAGGCTTCTAACCGCGACGTCAGTCCCGGAAAAACACAGCTCGCGACACAGCCCTCCTGCTGCAGAACACAGCCAGGACCTGCGCCTCCGATCACCGCTCTCCACCTGACGTAATTGAGGGCCTGAGTCTGGAAACCAAACCATACTTTTGGAAAGGTTAATGCAATGCCTTTAAATAGTTTGATTTTTGTTTATCCAATGCTAAAGCAAACCCCTTCTGAGTTGAGCACTCTGAAACTTGCGTTTCCTCTTTGCCCTTTGAAAATAGGTATATTCCCAGTCTTCCCAGTGTAAGTTCTAAGGGTTTGTTTTCCTCTACTTATACCCTGGGCAGGTCTTTTCCTGGTCTTAACCTATCTCCTCCCTTCAATACACTGATCAAGGCTCCACTGAGTTTTCAAGGGACCCTCTGAAGATCGTCAGGTTCTCTTGCTGTGCCCTCTTCCTCTCAGAGCTCTGCCCTGTGAACTGTAGCCTCTTTGGCCTCTCCAAACCCCCTACTCCATCTCCTCACCTCTGGGAGACACTAGACTCCACCTGAACCCCCTGCCCTAAGCCACAGACTGGACACTTTCTCCAAGCAGGAACTAGGGCTTCCACAGGGCTCATTTCATTTGTTTTCGTCCGTTGGGAATAACTGCCCTTTGTTGCTGATGCCCACTGTCTTCGGTACCATTTTTTTTCATAGACTTAGTTATATTTATTAGCTATTTCAACTGGAAAGGTGAAATAGATTACTGTTGTAATGTCTTGACAAGAAGTGGAAATTTGAGTGTTCTTCTGAAAGCAAATCTAAGGAAAAAAACGTTCATAAAGGGTGAAGCAGAAACATATATCAATAAAGCCCAAAGTTAAACAGAGGAAATGTTATTTTAAAAATCAGCAAAATACTCCTATGGTGCTTGCTGTCCCAGCTACTTGGAAGACTGAGGCAAGACCGTCTGGGCAGAACAGGAAACATATATCCCTGTCTCATTTTTTTAAGAAAGGGAAAAAAAAACAGCAAAATATTTCCTGCTCTACTTCCAAACCAAGAATCAAATGACAAGTTTTCATCAAAATGTATTCAGGTTCTTTATTCTCAAAACAGCTTTCCCTTGGTCATCCTCCAGAATTCTGCGTTTTCCCCTATTATCATTATTTTTAATTCATATGTAAGGAAACTCATTTCCACTATTGAGATACGAAATGTGTGTCTCAGTGCCTCTGATGTTGGAGAAAGTCCTCTTGCACTTTGCTGTAGTTTAGATGTTGAATGTCTCTCAGAGGGTCCTTGAGATGGTGCTTTTGGGAATTGCTCTGGACTTATAGAAGAGAAAGCATTATAGGAGATCCTCAGATCATTGGGCCTGTACTCTGGAAGAGAATTGTGGGATCCCAAACCCCTTTTTTTCCCTCTTTTACTTCCTGGCTGTGAGGTAAAGAGTTTTCTCTACCCCACTCCCTGTTATTGCTATCCAGCATATTTAACAAAGGCCCACGGTGGTGGATCTGCACAGTCTTGAACTAGAACCGCCAAAACTGTGAGCCAAAATAAACCTTTTCTCTTTATAAATTAATTATCTCAGGCATTTTACAGTGAGTACACAAAATTCATTTCGTGGTGGGTGCCATGAAGACAAAGAATAAAGGTCAAATTCTGCAATTTATAAAATATATTAGAAATTGTGAGATGTCAGGTACATCTAAAAATAAAAGAATTTGAACTCAGCACCTGCTACGCAAAATAACAAAATCTTCCTTACCACTTTCATTACTAATTTATAGTGGATATGAGATGAAATAGGATCATATTGGGATATATTTTGCAATAATGTTCAGAGTTTGCCAATAATACAAATGTAAAGTTTCTTTCTGTAAGTTTGAAAGCAAGACTGTTTACTTTTTCTTTTTTTTTTTTTTCTTGGGCGTTTACTTTTTCTTGATGCCAACCAGAATGAAGAGGTTAGTAAAATATATTTTGAGTAAAAGCAATATCTGAAGCTTATCTGGGAGTCTAAATAAAAAGCTAGTAATATATTAGACATGTTGAGTTTGAAATTCATATAAAATAACCAGAGGGCAAGAATCAATCTTTCTAGGGTTTAGGATGGACATGTAGACTGGAGATAGGATTTGAGTATCTTCAACGTGGAAGATTAAATTCATACCTTGAAAATGGATATTGTCAATCAGAAGAGTAAGAATTAAAAGAAGCTGAAGGAAGAATCCTGTGGAATATACCATATATAGGTTAGGAAGAGGAAAAAGAATGAAAAGCATTTTTCATATTGGCAGGAAAGCTATGTGTGTAACATTCACAACCTAAAAAGAGGGTTTCCAAACAGAGACCTGACTTACCAGAGATATCTGATTTACCATGTCAGACATATGCTGGTCACATTCAAAGGAAAACAGAAAAGAGCCCAATAAATACTCAGTCACTCCTGGCTTTGATGTCAGAAGTTCCAGGAAAGTACTGGAGACAATACAGGTTTGTAGTTTTTTTTTAAGGTCAAAGTTAGCAATGTGCTTTACACATGATTGAAGAGCTATTCATTTCATTTAACTTGCCTGATATGACTTTCAGTTCCTAAAGCCAGTCTTGTAACTTCTTTTATCTATTTCAAAGGACTAGTACCTGGCCTATTTTCACTCTTAAAATTTATGACCAGATTTTATAACAAGTTTGTTACTGTCTTCAACTAAAGTTATTTATTTACAGGGGAGGTTTCAAAATAAAGCAAGTGAAAAAAATCATGAACCATCTTACTTTATTCATTCAGAAGTTTCTCCTCAGGCAATGGAGGCTTTTACCCACTCATCTCATCACAGGAAATACCTCCCATTGTCCAGTTTGTTCTGATGGCAGAAAAGGGCCCAACATTCAGAATCCAGTGTATCCTCATCATCAAATTACTCTTCAGATACACTTTAAGATATAATAAAAAGTTAGGTACCATTTTACTGAATGACATTTAGTGTTGTTGGTAGATCTAGATATAACTCTTACCTGCTGCATGTCCTATGCTTATATTTTTATTGGCTAAAGAGAAAATAATAGACCCAAAAAGGAAAAATATCATGAGTAATTTTCATAATTAGATGAATTAATCCAAAATTAAACTTGGGATTCAGGTATTCTGATTTTGGTAAAATATCATTGGCATACATTTACATCAGAAATATGCGCTGTCATTTTAACATGTCATTCAACTCACTGGCCTTGTTGAATTGTAAGTCTGAGAAGAGATGGAAAAAATGTGTCATGTTTCTTTTAATTGGAATCTGAAAGTATATAAGTGATAGTATCAATGTGTTAAGAGGACAGATACTGTAAAGAAGAAATTAAAAACAGAAGGACTGAATTTATTTTTATTCTGAGAGGAAATATATTGAAAACTCAGAAATAAAAATAGTTTAAACCAGTGGTGGCAAACCTATGATACATGATCCACAGCGGGCTGTTTGTATCATTGAAAGCTCTGAAAGGTTTGCCATCACTGGAACAATTGATATAAAATTGACTTATATAGCTACTGTTATTGGTGTAATTGTCCCCCCACAGAAAATGTTCATGAAGTCCTAACATTGTATAGCACAGGACATGAATGTATTTGGACATAAGGTCATTAAAGATATAATTTAGTGGAAAGGAGGTCATTAGCTTGGGCTCTAATCCAAGATGACTGGTGCCATTAAAGAAGATGCAGTTATGACCCAGGCACTGGTGGAAAATATGTGCTGCCTCCCTATTGCCTATAGGACAAAACCCAGTATTCAATGTCCTCTGCAGGAAAAACCCAATAGCCTACAAAAGTGGTCACCTACCACTTTCATGGTACTCTGGTCGAGCCATTGCCACATGTTTCTGTTAGGTCTGATGGGCTCTGGGATGTGTCCTTTTTTCCCTTACATCTGTCCCCCTCCAGCAGTGCCCACAGGCTCTCCTCTGTCCATCACACCTCATCAAACAATCCGGGAGCAACACATGACCTCCCTATGGACTGTTTTTGCTATGACATTCAGTTGCTACATAATCTAAACCCTAAACACTTCTCTATATTTTAATATCATACAGCTATCAAAGTTTACATAGCTTCGCGAGCATTTATTCCACACACTTTGAGAATTTTCTGTGTGTCAGACTATATTAGGCATTAAAGATGCAATGTGAAATAAGATATGGTTTCACCCCTCAAAGCATTTTTGGCACTGTTAGTGAGTGTTATGCTTTGGATCTAAAAAGTCCTTCAAAGGCCATGTGCTGAAGGCTTGGTTGGATCACGAGGGCTGTACCTTCACCCGTGAATTAATCCATTGATGGACTCAGAATTTGGTGACATTATTGAGAGATGATATAAACTTATAAGGTGGAACCTAGTTAAAGGGAAGAACTCATGGGAGTATGATGCTGGAGACTATATCTTGTCCCCAGCCCCGCCTTCTAGTTCTAGGGCTCTATCTCTTCCTCCCTCTCTCCTTTTCTCCCTTCCATCTCCCATTCCCCCATATTCATCTCTCGTCTCTCTCCCTAGCTGCAATAAGTTGAGCAACCTCCTGCACCACATGCTGCCACCATCATTGTATTCAAGCTGATCACAGCAGAGCCAGCTGAGCAGGGGACTGAAACCTCCAGAACAGTGAACCAAAATGAGCATTTCCTCCTTTCAGTTATTACTCTCGGGTATTCTGTCACAACAGCAGAAGGCTGACTAATACAAGTAAAGAAAAATCCAAACTTTCATTATGTAATAAGCCTTATT